TGCGAATTACGCTCCGGTGTAAATAGAGCTGAAAGAAATAAATAGAACCAAGCTATTGTGATTTTAGTGTTAATTCAATACAGGGTCAATTTATTTCAATATATATATATGTTGGTATAACAAAATATTTAAATACCTTTGGACTGGAGTGGCCTGGTAGCTGCTGCGCTCGCGTTGATCTTCTTAAACGAAGTGAAGTACAGGACTTGCGGGATTTTAAATCGGACCGCCGTACAACCGATATTAAGGGGAAACTTAACGAAGGTTTATTGTCCGGAGGGAAACTTTAGTTAACGGCGCGAATTAATATTAGTACGTGTGCACATGTATGTGTGTGTACATATGCACATATGCCAACATTAGGGCCGGTCGCAAAAATATAGAAATATTTAGGGTGAAGGCCTAAACATGCCGGTCACCTTGCGGCAAGCAACATGCAACATCTATGCAGCAACTACCAGATCAACTATATACATGTCCAAGCAAAATGTTATAAAAATTCATAAAAAATGTGTTTCTCTGGCTTCGTTGGAGAGGGGCCAGATTCCTCGTTCGTCGTCCCGCATCGTCTCACTTGCGTTCTCCTAAGTTGCTGCTTGAGGGGAATGGATGTAAAGTATAAGAGTAAAGTGACGTGGACATTTTCAAGTGCACTTTTATTGAGAAGAAGAAAGATTCATAAAAATAAATTTCAAAAATTCATATGTAGAACTTGATTCGATCAGAAAAGTTATAAATATAGATGTATTTGTATATGTTTATGCTCTGGTAACGCCAGAGAATACCCATCCGAAGATGGTGCCCGGCAGGATTACGTCGGCGTAAACGTCAATGCCGAGGACTAGGCGAATGGGCGTCGAACTATAGAAATGTGGGTCGGCCAACCGAATGTACTGGTATGCTGTGGCGATGACAGGATCTAGGTTGCTGGCTGGCGATACGCGGTGGTAGTTCCATTTAACCGTCGCGTGGGTCGCAATACGTTTATTATCGCCGTGCTTTCCTCGAAGGCATAAGACGCAAACCGTTTGTTTTTGTTTTTACTCCAATTGTTAGAGTGGTGCGTACTAAATAATTTTAGTAATCCGAGCCCTGTTTCACACATATGACAATGAAGGAAATTCATTCACATCAGTTGCGATCCCGTACGAGTCCGGACTAGTCAGAANGAAATTCATTCACATCAGTTGCGATCTCGTACGAGTCCGGACTAGTCAGAATCAGTCAGATTTTACTGGAAATCGATCCCGTACTTCTGATCGAATCAAGTTCTACATATGAATTTTTGAAATTTATTTTTATGAATCTTTCTTCTTCTCAATAAAAATGCACTTGAAAATATCCACGTCTCTTTACTCTTATACTTTACATCCATTCCCCTCAAGCAGCATCTTAGGAGAACGCAAGTGAGACGATGCGGGACGACGAACGAGGAATCTGGCCCCTCTCCAACGAAACCAGAGAAACACATTTTTTATGAATTTTTATAATATTTTGCTTGGACATGTATATAGTTGATCTGGTAGTTGCTGCATAGATGTTGGATGTTGCTTGCCACAAGGTGACCGNTAGTTGCTGCATAGATGTTGGATGTTGCTTGCCGCAAGGTGACCGGAACGTTTAAGCCTTCACCCTAAATATTTCTATATTTTTGCGACCCGCCCTAATGTTGGCATATGTGCATTTGTACAAACACATACATGTGCACACGTACTAATATTAATTCGCGCCGTTAACAAAAGTTTCCCTCCGGACAATAAACCCCCTTAATATCGGTTGTCCGGCGGTCCGATTTAAAATCCCGCAAGTCCTGTACTTCACTTCGGGTTAGAGGATCAACGCCAGCGCAGCAGCTACCAGGCCACTCCAGCCCAAAGGTATTTAAATAGTTTGTTATACCAACATATATATATATATATATATTGAAATAAATTGACCCTGTATTGAATTAACACTAAAATCACAATAGCTTGGTTCTATTTATTTCTTTCAGCTCTATTTACACCGGAGCGTGATTCGCAACCGCCCCCGTGTAAACAGAAAGTATTTTTGGTTATTTACATATGTGAGCTGAGTGTGTTTACATATAAAATAAGCAAACATTTACAACCAAAATTTGGAGGTTATCTTGAAGTTGACAGAAGTTACCATTTTTTACTGGAAATCGATCCCGTACTTTTCAATGTTACTCTCTCGCTCTGAGCGAATTTTTATTATTTGACAGTTTTACTATTTCGGTTGTCTAATGGAAAATAAACAAATTATTTATAAACATGTTCCTCGTCGTTAAATAATGAAATTAATAAAATTTAAATTAAATAAACGTTCAAAGAGCTTAGTTTAGTTGAAATGTGTGTTTTGAAATTGCTTGTTATCGTACATTTGGTTAGGTGAAATTTTCAACTTTAACAACAAATTACTCGTAAACTATGAGTTTCCTCGCCGTCCGGTTTTCAGTTTTGTGATGCGTACGACCCCCTCTACACCCCGCATAAAGTCATTTTGTTCAAAGTTTGGTGCACTCTCGCGAAGTCAACCCAAACAATGTGTTGTGACATGTCATTCCATCTCAAACATAAGGGGTATTCTCTGAGTCTTGCAAAGCCCTTGCATGGTGCACAGATTGCACGGATTGCACGGTTAAAACCGGTTTTCGTATGGGACAGCTTTGCAAACCGTGCAATCCATGCAACGTGCAAGGGCTTTGCAAGACTCAGAGAATACCCCTATACTGTTTTAGCATGTCGTTGCCACTTAGCTAAGCTGTTGTTCGCTGTTGTACTTCTGTAGCATATTTTTAATTCTGTTTGATCCTGCCTTAGATGAAAATATATACAGGTTTTTAATTAGACAATTCTTTAAAGCATTTTACTATAATAGGTGCTTACATTCACAAAGTCTCTTCCCGTATATAAAATGTAATTAATAATGCTGACTATAGGTGCGTTTGTTTAAAATCTCCAGTAAAAACCAACCAACGACGAAATGTCACCAGTTCTCTCACAAGAGAAAAATATCCAAAACAGTACGCGAACAGAAAATTTGCAAAAACATGCAAGTTAGACGAACAGCTGATATATTTTTTTTTACATTCAAAAGTGTAAAATATAAAACGTACGAAATCTCACTACAAAATGGTATCCTGACGCAGTTTATTGATTAAACAAATAATTACTTACTTCTTACAAGTTCAATTAGTCGCATTTTGTCATTTTTAACTTAAAAACCATCAATTTCAATTTTGTGATTTGCGTAAATTCAATATATAATATAATTTTCATTGACTTTAAAGGTTAGCATTAGCAGAATGCAATGCATTTACTAACACCCAGGTGCGAACTCGAAACTTCTAAGTTTGTTGTAATTTATTTAGCTTCCCAGAAAACGTATTTAAGTCGGTTACCCTGATTCTATGGAAGACATCCCACGTAGTATTGCACTGCGTCAAGATCAAGGGAAAGATATTATAAAACCTGTACAGCCTCTATTGCGTGAAATATCACTGAAAACGAGGATTGTTTTTTTTTGTTACGGGAGTTGCTAAGCGTACTACCCGGAAGTTTATGATCCTATCTAGATGAAATTGTACCAGGCATTAATTACTCTTTGAACGATAAAACCCCAACAAGCAATACTAAAATCGATACGTTAGGGTTATTGTGCTCATTGTTAGCAAGTAACACACCTTCATATTTTTTCCAACCACATATTTCTTTATTGGTACCACTTATCGTTAATGCGGTGTTTGACTCGTTTTATAAAATTTCCACAGAAGCGCTTCAAGTGTTACAAGAACTTGTAAAAAGTTTTACGGTCTATGCAAGTTCCAGTAGTTCCATTACACACTACCTTTGAAATAAGTCCCTTCGTGGGAGATCGGTATTCTGCCACCAAACAAAAAAAAGGCAAGTGAAATTGGTAGGATGCCTACGTGTATACATATATACACATATACGCCATAAGCCTTTGGTGGGATCCAGATGCTTAATTTTCTAAGCCGAGGCTCAATTTTCGGAACCTGAAAGGAGAAAAAATAATTAGTGTTAATTACAAATTAGATTTACTACTTTTTGCAACCTCCTTACCTGCGATTGCGTAATCCCTCGGGCATGAATGTACTTTCCATTCCATTCTTCCAATGGAAGGTGCAATCCCGTATTCCTCGGACAGTACGGGATCGCTTTCTAGTAAAAAAATGGTAACTTCTGTCAACTTCAACATAACCTCCATTTTTTGGTTGTAAATTTTTGCTTATTTTTACTTTCAAATTCATTAGAATCCACTTAAACAAGTAATTAAATACTTTTCAACATGAATTAGCAGAGCGCACTTTTCTTTTGTTTACAATTTGGTTGCCAAACACACTACAGCTGATCGTTTGACACATTTACCAGCAAAAAATTCTCGGACTAAAACTGGTAACGGTAATTCTCTAGTGTAGGGTAACAACCCCTAAAAAAGGTCCGGAAAAGTCGGGAGGGGTACCAAACGACGCTTTTCGGCCCCCCCTATTAACAATCTGGAGGGGAGGGCTAATATTATTAACCATTTATGTTATGCTTCCTGCCGGGGGATCCAAATAAGATTTCGGCACTTTAATTTATTTGTTATTTGTACGAGTGGTATGAGTTTTATTTCCTACATTTTATGAAATTGTTAAAAAAGAATACAAACAAGGAATACAATTAACTTACGCTTTGTGCGTCCTCCCGACTCTGCTGCGACTATAGATTTAACTCGAAATTGATATTTTTGTTAGAACAAACGACAGAGTTGCCCCACAACTCCTTTTCTAAAACCAAGCACGGTCGCATTTCAGAGGCGAAAGAACGCATTCACACCAAATTAATAACACTGAATTTACACGAGAAATAAAATAAAGAATAAATCTCCAACAATTTAAAAGTTATAAACAAAAAACTTTTGTTAAATTTCGTTGTTTTCTATGAGCAATTACCACGTCAAAAATGCACTAAATCACCNTCCCAGCCTCCGTGAATCTAGCTCAGCTCAGGTTCACCAACGTCCAACTTCGCCAACATCCACACCGGTCTCTTGAAGACGCCCAATTTCGTCTTTACATCCGCTGCTCTGACCTGAGAGTCCGTGCCAGGGTACACGTGGGTAACTCTTCCCAGGAGCCATTTCGAACGGTGCACACTCGAGTCACAAATAAGGACGACATCATCGACGGCCAATGTTGCAACTGGTTGATACCACTTAGTCCGTCGACACAGGTCTGGAAGATATTCCGACAGCCACTTCTTCCAAAATCGATGCTGGAGCTGTTGGACTTTCCGCCACTGCTTCCTGGTTGCTCGGAGCTTCTCTTCTAGCGGGATGAGCGTCTGATCAGAATTGGCTGTGCTTAAAAGGAAATGATTAGGGGTGAGGGGTTCATCGGTAGGTGAGTCTAACGGTATATGCGTGAGCGGACGCGAATTAACTATGTTCTCTGCCTTGCACATAAGGCTATACAATGCGTGCTCCTGTATACTCTCGCTGTGTAGTACGTCACCCATAGCTCGTTTCCCGCTGCGCACCAGCCTTTCCCAACAGCCACCTTCGTGAGGGTTCAGCGGGCAGTTGAAAACCCATTGGATGCCCTCTTTCGACAGCGCATCAGCTATGTTTCCGCACTCGAACTCGTATAGCTGTCGCTTCAATTCCCGGTCGGCTCCGACAAAATTTGTGCCGTTGTCAGAGCGAATGCGTACTGGTGTTCCTCGCCGGTTCATGAAGTTTCGAATGCACATCAAGCACGTATCGGTTGACATATCCCTGGCTATTTCTAAATGCACAGCTCGAGTAGTCAAGCACGTAAATAGGGCTATCCAACGCTTCTCGCTGCGACGACCCGCCACTATTACGAAGGGTCCCATGTAGTCCAGGCCGACGTAGGAGAACGGTCTCACGAATGGCGTAACTCTGTCTTCAGGCAATTGCCCCATCATTGGCACGGTGGGCCGAGCCCGATTCCTTTTACATACGACACACCTCCTTGTAGCCTGCTTAACCACAACTCTGATGTGGGGAATCCAGTACCGTCTACGTATCTCTGCGATAATTGTCGCATCATTTTGATGGCGCCAAGTTCGGTGATAGTTATCCACGATCAAATCGGTAACACGATGAGTTTTAGGGAGTATAATTGGTCGACGAGCTACCGGGGAAATAGCCATTGCATTGTTTAGTCTTCCATTGACTCGCATGACTCCAAAGTCGTCCAAGTATGGTGTCAACTTCCATAGTCTGCTACTTCGCCCTACGCACCCGTGCAATTTCAACGATTCATAGTCTTCGCCATAAGCATTAATTTGTACTGCTCGGCAGATAACCAAATCTGCCCTCTCCAGGTCCGATGAGTCTAGCCAGGCCAGTTTTCTCTTGCCCGTGGTTTGCTTGCAATTATCGGAGAAGCGTAATATCCAGGCAATAATCCTCTTCAATCGCTGGAACGATGAGTATCTATCAAAGGGTGTTAAGTCATTCGGAATTACTAGAAATAATAGTTTTGCGCGCAACTCTTCAGCCGTTTCTCCATGACCTACTTGTTCTGGCCATTTACTTTGGCTTTCCAGTAAAAACGCCAACACTGCCGATTGTAGTTCCAAACGAGGAATCGAGGTCAGCTTCATCGGCGCACACTTGGTCTTGCCTGCTATGAACGACAGCTCAACAACTCCTTTTGTGTCTACGATTCTCCAATATGCCACCGCCGCATAGGCCAACTCACTGGCATCTGCAAAAACGTGTAGCTCCACTGGAATGCTCATGAAATATACACCATAGCATCGCGATATGCAGAGCTTTTCCAAATCCTCAAGCATCACGAGCCATCTCTCCCAAAGTACGCGCGCATCCGATGGTATTTCTTCATCCCAATCGACTTGCTTCCTCCATGTTAGCTGCAGTATAAGTTTGGCCACCAATGAGTACTCCGCTGCAAGGACGAAGGAGTCGAATACTGACATGGCAATACTCAGCGCTTCTCGTTTCGTAGGGGTTCGTTTTCCTTCCAACAACTTCTTGTCAACCCTTCCAAATGATTTTCCGAAACGAAGCGCGTCTTGGGTCGTGTCCCAGCACATGCCTAACACCTTTTGAAACTCCATAGGCTTTTTATCGAGGCTGTAAACTTGTTGATCTCCGCTGCTGTCGTTGAACGTTCGGTTAACTAAAGGAGAGTTGGAAATAAAACGTTTTAAATCAAACCCACCTTTCGCATGTACCCACACGATTTCCGGAATTATTTTCAGAGCATCGCTTTCGCTGGAGAAGCAGTGAACCAAGTCATCAACATAATGGTTATTGATTATTGCGCTGACAGCTTCAGGAAATTTATCTTCGTGCTGGAGTGCATTGTAGTTTTTGACGAACTACGCCGAACAAGGTGAGCACGTTGCTCCGAATGTCATGACTGTCATGGCATAATCTTCGATTGGCTGTCTTGAGTTTTCCCTCCAAAGGAATCTTTGCGCCTCCTGATCGTCCTCGCGCATCTTCACCTGGTGAAACATCTCGACAATATCCGCGCACACATCAATCATTCGTTGCCGGAATTTCATTAACACCACTGGGAGCGGTTGACATTGGTCAGGGCCACTCAGTAGTGCCGAATTTAGGGAACAGCCACTAACGTTTGCGGCAGCGTCGAAAACTAACCTCAACTTTCCTGGTTTGTTTGGGTTGTACACTGCGAAGTGAGGCAGGTACCACGTGCGGCTACTTTCTATTCTCAGCTCATCGTCGCGTAGTTTTCTCGAATACCCTTTCCTCCTATATTCAGCCATAGCCTGTACATATTCTCTTTTAAAATCGTTGTCTCGCTCGAAATTCTTCTCCAAAAGCAGCAAGCGTTTCTCAGCCATCTTACGACTGTCCGGCAAATTCGTTTGTGGACTTTTCCATAAAAGCCCCGTTTCGAAACGGTCGCCCTTCCGGACAGTTGTACTTTCCAACAACATCTTGGCCCTCTTATCGTCATCGCTCTCTACATGCTTAGCGCATCGCACACCCAGCTCATCACTGGCGATATATTCCTTCACCAGCTGTTCCAATGCGTCACCCTGGCTGGGACCGGCACGTGTGAAGAACAGTCGACTCGCACCCTTGACTGAACCGCTTTCCACCATACCGTAGACAATCCAACCCAGCTTTGTCAGGATTACAGCTGGACCTTTCCATCCATTTCTAATAACACGACGCGCAACTCCTAGATGAGCATTATCGATTCCAATTAACAATTCGGGGACCACATTCTCATAGTTGCAGGTTGGCAGACGAAAGCTCCTCGATGTTTATAGTTTGTGTTGGTAATTGAAGATTTGGGACCGTGCATACATTCTTCAGGCTAAATATCTTGCTATCCTTTCTCACACCCGAGATCCCAACGTCGAATCGCGCTGACATCTCTGTTACGGTATTGCTACCAAACCATTGGAGAGTAAGCTCTTCCTTGTTACCCTTTAGACCAAGTCTAGTTGCCAAGTTTTCGTTCATTAATGAAATCGCCGACCCTTCATCGATAAAGGCATAGCTATCGATTTGCTTACCCTTAGCATACAACCGTACCGGTAAAATTTTGAACAAAATCTTTGTATTTATAGGCCTAACAACAGCGCTAGTAAACATAGGGTTCGCCCGTGGTGCGTCGCTTTCGGCACTTTTGTCGAGTAACCGGTGCACGCCTCTTTTTTTATTGTAACCTTCATTTCCCTCGCGTGTCGAACAACGCCTGCCTAAATGACCTGGTAGCAGACATCTGAAGCAAAACTTGAGCTGTCGAGAAACTGACCACCTCTGAGTACACGGCATATCTAGAAACTTTTTACAATTTTCCACCTCGTGCTCACCTGCACAAATTCGACAGCCCTTCTTATGGTATGAAAAAGTCTCTGACGTTGATCTCGGGTCGTCGTTGATTTTTGTGGTTCGTTTACGTTTATACACGCTACACTAACCACGCGAGCTAATTCTTGAAGCCAGTCGCTGAAATCCACTATGGTCGCTCTCGGAATAATCGTCACTGCATGCCTGGCCCACTCCAGCCTCCGTTGCACTGGTAGCTTCGACAACATTTCATCCATCAGCGTTGGGTTGCACAAATGATGATCACAGTTGGCTGCCTTCAGAAACGAAGCCAGATTTTGCACTTTAGTCGCGAACGGTATAAGCATCTGGATTCGATTTTCCGCAATAGGAGGCACGTCTCTCAGCCTACTAATCTGTCTCTTCACAAGTAACTCCGGACTACCGAATCGTTCTTCAAGGGTCTTCATAACGCATCGTACATTGCTGCTGTGAATCAGAAGGCACTCGACAGTATCTTTCGCCTTACCTTTTAGGGCTTTCTGCAGGCGCATCATATTCTGACGGTCGTCGTACCCGTACTCCTCCGATGTCATATAGAAGGCTTCCTTGAGCATAGGCCCGTCGAATTCGGGTAAATCGTAGAGCTTGCGGTGCTGCTGTTCTGTTCTACCCGCTGAGAGCGTGCGATTTAAATTTATTTATGCTGATGCTAGTGTGGATGTACTATCATCGTTTTCTGTATTCGTAGCTGGATTATTATTACCCGGGGGCTGTACATGAATTTCCCTTAACCGGCGGTTGCTGTTATCCAGCTCGACCTGTAGCGCGTTAATCTTTAACATCATTTCGTTTAACCTTTGTTCTACCGTTTGGCCACCCGTTATGTTTTCTATAATAGTTGTATTGAAATCATCTTCCTCTCTTTCTGACCTACTACCTGATGTGGAACGTGTTTGTGGCATTTTTCGCTAACTGGATTTTATGAAACGGCGAATAACGGAATAATCACGCGAGGCGACTTCTAACAGGCTACAGTACCGTATGCTAATTTATCGCAATACTACCCGACCTCCAAACACTCACTAATCACTTAAATGCACTCTTACCTGACCAATTCCCCAGCTCACTGCCCACTTGTGTCCAGGGCTTCCACGCTAGTTTGCTCCTCTTGGTTCCGTGCTGCTGATTACTATTGTTGGCGTCTAGGCAATGGCGATCTCCTTATGCCAAAAGCGAAATAAAAGTTGTTATGCTTCCTGCCGGGGGATCCAAATAAGAACTCGCCACTTTAATTTATTCGTTATTGGTACGAGTGGTATGAGTTTTATTTCCTACATTTTATGAAATTGATAAAAAAGAATACAAATAAGGAATACAATTAACTTACGCTTTGTGCGTCCTCCCGACTCTACTGCGACTATAGATTTAACTCGAAATTGATATTTTTGTTAGAACAAACGACAGAGTTGCCCCACAACTCCTTTTCTAAAACCAAGCACGGTCGCATTTCAGAGGCGAAAGAACGCATTCACACCAAATTAATAACACTGAATTTACACGAGAAATAAAATAAAGAATAAATCTCCAACAATTTAAAAGTTATAAACAAAAAACTTTTGTTAAATTTCGTTGTTTTCTATGAGCAATTACCACGTCAAAAATGCACTAAATCACCAGTTTCCACTTTTAAAACACTATTAGAACGTCTCCGGTTATTATTTTATGAAAACCAAATCATTTATTCACTTTTATTTTATATATTTCGTTAAAAAAACAGAGTAAACAAACTTTGCGCCTGCCAAAATTATTATAACCTCAAATCGCTGGTATTGCCACTTTATTTCACATTTCAGTTGCGCTTTTCTACTCAGTTTACACTATACACTTGTTCTTCTTCGCGCGATTTTTTATTAAAAATTTTCATTATTTATCGAAGTATTTATTTTTAGGAAAAATCGCCGCAGGCGAAAATTTTTAATAAATAATTGCGCGATAATAAAAAATCGCGCCCTCCTCGGTATTGTTAATAGTGGGACCGAAACGCGTCGTTTGGCACCCCTCCCGACTTTTCCGGACCTTTTTTAGAGAATTACCCTGGCAACTTCTGTCAGAGAGAGAACCGTATTTACTCCCTTTTTGTCCTCTCAATAGTCAGAGAACCGAGTACGGGATCGATTTCCAGTAAAATCTGACTGATTCTGACTATTTCTGACTAGTCCGGACTCGTACGGGATCGCAACTGATGTGAATGAATTTCCTTCATTGTCATATGTGTGAAACAGGGCCCGGATTACTAAAATTATTTAGTACGCACCACTCTAACAATTGGAGTAAAAACAAATTTTCGTAGTAGCCGGGTGCACCTTTTTCACATTCGCAGTATCACAAAATTCGAATTTTTCACATAGTGATCAAAGTAATAACCTTTAACTTAAACAGTAAACAGCTCTTTCGAATTTTAATTTACTTATAAATACATATATAGACAGAATATTCAAATATTGTCAATGTATTGACTCATTTTCATCAAGATCATCGTCATCCATACCTAAATATTGGCATGAATTAGAACTTTATTATCGAGTAGATTTTTTAATAAAACGCACTAGAGGAGTAGATTAAACACTCTTCTAAAATGTTCTAAACCCATGTCAGAACGTAGTGGCATCCTAGTACGGGTGTATAAATTCACATATACATACGTTCCACAAATGGAAAAAACATATGTTGATGCATACCATCGCACCATTCGATCAATCATTCTTATCGTTAGCTTTGCTAACATAAATGCATTTTACGCACATAAAGAGGCATAGTCATGAGGAAATATCAATGCACTAACTTTTTGTAGTTATTTCACATATTTTTACGTAAAATTCAAAAAATTGTAATAAAATCTAAAAGCCCTGTTTTTAGCCAGGTATCACCTACAGTGGCATCCAAACTTTTTTTGGGTGGCTGGCTAGTTGTAGGGTTGCGAGAACGGCTAAAAACTCTCTAAGTGTATATTATTACGTTTTTCGCCACTTTTAATCAATGAAGTTTAAATGCCAATTACGAATATTATTAGATGAAGTCATAATGAAAATAATCAGTTTCACAAGTGCACTTAACTTTGGCACCTCTAAATAATAACTGCAACGTTACAGTCTTCAGTATAATTCAAATTTAACTCTGCCCATGCATCCCTGCACAATGGAATGTATGGCATTTGTGCGATCCACTTGTCATTTTCGTGGGTTGCAAACTTGGATTAAGCCATATTTACACGCGTTAGTTGGAGAAGGGCAATTGATAGAAAATAATGCCACGTTCAGACTGACCAACCCTGTTGCAATTAACAAACGATTCTTTTTTATGCCAAATGCTTAAATAATTCCCATCTTATTCACTCGCCACCCAACAATAAAAAAGAGAATCAACGGCAAACAACTTGAAAAACAAAATTAGAGGAGGAAATATTTCAGGAAGAAATGGGTCGCTTCAACACATTAAAACAGAAGGCCATACAGAACCCTCAACGCTTTGTTTTGGCGTGCCGATTGTGTGAGGGGAAACACCCAATTCGTTTGTGCCCAATTTATCGTGCCAAGACACCAGAAGAGAGGCTACTTGAGGCGCTGCTAGAACGTTTCTGCGGCAACTGTCTCTCTATGGACCACAAAACCGAAAACCGGAAACCAAGTGATTTCGACCCCTGCTCCAACATGAACGCGACAACTTAGAAGACCGAGAGCATACACGGCGTCTTGGGTCACCACACAGAATTCAGCGACGGCGCAGAGTGGAAACTAGGCCTTTCCGCCTGCGTTGACAGAACGACAATAGGCTTGCTCCTAGATTCCGCCAGGTAGCCACACCCAACATGTTCCGCAACGGGCTCCTGGGACAACACGCTACCGCGGGTCCAACATTGAGCCCTATGATTGCTATTGCTTCGACAGCAGTGGTAAAAGTCGAGGCGATGGGGCGCCTTCATTCAGTCCGCGCTCTCATCGATAGTTGCTGCGCCACCACGATAATTTCAGCGGACCTAGCTCGGGAGTTGAGGCTGGAACAGACGCGAGTCGGAAATCCAACGGGTTGCGTCTTATGCCTTCGAGGAAAGCACGGCGATAATAAACGTACCACGCGACGGTTAAAAGGAACTACCACCGCGTATCGCCAGCCAGCAACGTAGATCTTGCCGTCGCCACAGCATACCAGTACATTCGGCTGGCCGACCCACATTTCTATAGTTCGACGCCCATTCGCCTAGTCCTCGGCATTGACGTTTACGCCGACGTAATCCTGCCGGGTATACTCCCAAACTCCTTTGGGCCTCTGCTAGCTCAGAGCACCATCTTCGGAAGGGTACTCTCTGGCGTTACCAGAGCATAAACATATACAAATACATCTATATTTATAACTTTTCTGATCGAATCAAGTTCTACATATGAATTTTTGAAATTTATTTTTATGAATCTTTCTTCTTCTCAATAAAAGTGCACTTGAAAATGTCCACGTCACTTTACTCTTATACTTTTTATCCATTCCCCTCAAGCAGCAACTTAGGAGAACGCAAGTGAGACGATGCGGGACGACGAACGAGGAATCTGGCCCCTCTCCAACGCAGCCAGAGAAACACATTTTTTATGAATTTTTATAACATTTTGCTTGGACATGTATATAGTTGATCTGGTAGTTGGTGCATAGATGTTGGATGTTGCTTGCCGCAAGGTGACCGGCATGTTTAGGCCTTCACCCTAACTATTTCTATATTTTTGCGACCCGCCCTAATGTTGGCATATGTGCATATGTACACACACATACATGTGCACAAATACTAATATTAATTCGCGCCGTTAACTAAAGTTTCCCTCCGGACAATAAACCTTCGTTAAGTTTCCCCTTAATATCGGTTGTCCGGCGGTCCGATTTAAAATCCCGCAAGTCCTGTACTTCACTTCGGTTTAGAAGATCAACGCGAGCGCAGCAGCTACCAGGCCACTCCAGTCCAAAGGTATTTAAATATTTTGTTATACCAACATATATATTTAAGATGGAGAGGTCGGCTTACGTCGTGCGGCATGCCACAGAGTTCGGCTATTTTGTTATACGTACAGAGAGAGAGTCAGTCGTTGATGTGAAGTCATTCGTGCCGGTCGTAGTAAAGCTGTTATTGCTGGATCATACTTTTAAATTCTTTTAATTAACTTTGTATTTACTAAATCATACTATTGAATTCTTTAAATTAACTTTGTAATTGCTTAATTGACTTAAATATAATTGGTTGAATAAACATTCAATCGTACATTTGGGGGCTCAACCTGTTGACCCGTTGTGAAATAGAGCGGTAGCAAACCCTCTATTGTGAAAGTGTGAAAAATAAGTTGTGAAGCGTCGCCCGTGGCATGTACATCTAGCACGGTTTCGCAATCAACGCGGTTGAATCGTTTTATTGATACGAGTAGAAATAGTTGTGCGTGCGCCGTCGCGAGTTTGCAGAAGCATTGCTGTCGTAGTTTTGCGAACGCGTCGTTGAAGCAGTTTGCGGTCGTCATCAGCTGCGCAGTCGTCGTTGAAGTAGTAACTCATCGTTGCAGTTGTAATCGTTTGCGCAGTCTTCGTTGAAGCAGTTTGCAGTCGTTATAAGCTGTCCAGACGTCGGTAAGGTAGTCATTCATCGTTGCAGTTGCGCAGTCGTCGTTGAAGCAGTTTGCAGTCGTTATAAGCTGTCCAGTCGTCGGTAAGGTAGTCATTCATCGTTGCAGTTGTCATCGTTTGCGCAGTCATCGTTGAAGCAGTTTGCAGTCGTTAGCAGCTGCCCAGTCGTCGTTAAAGTAGTCAAACATCGTTGCAGTTGTCGTCAGTTGCGAAGTCGTCGGTACCATTTGGTTTTTTTTTTGCAGTCGTCATCAGCAGTGAAGTTGTCGTTAAAGTAGTAACTCCTCGTTTTAATGGGCAAAGTAAAACGTACACC